ATTCTGATTAATATTAAAGGCAATCCTCAGAACTGATTTTTAAAGATACTGATGTTGACGCCATTCTGAAAGACAATTTCTTGGATTAATGACCTGAGTACTGAGAATCTAGAAACACTGCTTACAGGGATAAGGAAAAAAAGGGTCTGATGAAATGTTGCTTATATGAACTCTTCTCAGAAATTTATGAGTCTGCTATTTCTTCAAAGTATCATCAAATATCAAGGTCAAAGAAACCTAACTGCCACATTTCATAGTCGAGGATGCAGAGGTTCAGTCAGGTTAAGTGACCTGGCCAAAATGACAGGTAGTTAATGGAAGAGCTAGGACAAGAGCCATGAGACTTCAATTAAAATATGCATATTCATTCTACTCTTACATTATCTGTAGCATTGGTTTTTGTTGTTTTGTTTCTGTAGTTCTTTTTATCTCAGCTGGATTAAAAAAAATTTTTTTTTGATTACTGCTAGACTTGAAATTTAAAAAACCTAATTCACAGGACATTTTGATGTACTAAATTCTCTAGAAGAAGAATTCGTGTAATTTGTTATAGTGAAAATCCTAATATGGCTAAAAAACTACACAATTAATCCTAACGTGCTTTGGTAAATGAAGTCTATGCCACCTGTAGCAGGGTTCCCCTAGATTCTTTTGAAAGCCTCTATAGCAACCCAATCTTCACTCTCTTATTGCTACACTGAGTGCTCCCAGTTAGTAAACACTCTGGTATGCCAAGCCTCCCCTCCCAAACTGCTATGACGCTGTAAGTATTTCTGGAGCAACAGCAACCTGGCATTTAATGACATCTCATGTTTCTTGACTATAGAGACTAATGGGTTTGGCATGTTCTGTACCCCTGAAAAGATAGATTTGTGTTCTACCCTTCAAGGTCTAAACTCCAACAAAATCCAGCTGGCTTATACCAGTTCAGACATCTAGATAAAATGATAAATGAAACCATGTAAACAACATAGATCTATATATGCCTAGAAGAGATCACACTGCCTAAAAGGTGCAGAATTTGTGGCATCAGATGTATTTTTAATTTAATACTGGCTGGCTAAGTGAGGAAGATGATGGTAAAAATTCTGGCTGACCAGATGTTTAACATCATTAGTCATTACAGAAATGCAACTCAAAACCACAATGAGATACCGCCTCATACCCACTAGGATGGCTATTATCAGAAAAAGGGAAAAATAACAAGTGTTGGCGAGGATGTGGAGGAACTGGAAGACTCATCCACTGCTGGTGGGAATGTAAAACAGTGCAGCTACTGTTGGAAACAGTATGGTATTCCTCAAAATGTTAAACTCAGAGTTGCCATATGACTCAGCAATTTCACTCCTAGGAATATACCCAAAAGACTTGAAAATAAAGACTCAGATACTTGTACACTAGTGTTCACTGCAGCATTATTCACAATAGCCAAAAGGTGGGGTACAACCTAAGTATCCATAAACAGACAAATGGATAAACAAAGTGTGGTATATCCATAAACAGAATATTGCTGAGCTAGAAAGAAAACGTAGTTCTGATATATGTAGTTCTGATAACATGGGTGAACCTAGAAAGCATTATGCTAAGTGAAATATGTCAGACACAAAAGGATAAATATATGATGCCACTTATATGTAATATCTAGAATAGGCAAATGCATGGTGACAAAAAGTTATTACTGGTTTACAGGGGCTGGAAAGAGGAGGGAATGGGGAGTTATTACTTGAGGGACATTGAGTTTCTGTTTGAGAGGATAAAAAGTCTGAAAGATAGTGGTGATGGCTGCACAACATACGGAACATAATGTCACTGAACTGTACACTTAAAAATGTTAAAATGGCAAATGCTTTGTTATATACATATTTTACTGCAATAAAATTAAAAAAAATCTTGCTGACTGAAGATGTATGTGTGCATGCTTATTTTTAAATAAAATATTGAAATGTACTAATATTCTAAAATTTGGAATTTCTAATATTCTTAGTGTTCACAATTTTATCAGTTGTTCATAGGCATATATCCTAATTATCATTATTGTTTCACTGATCTGACCTCTAAGTAATCACCAAATGCCATCAATGCCTTAATCTCCAATCACATTTTGTTGATCTTTCAAGCTAGGACAGCAAGAAGACAAATCCTGATCTCAGCATCTCCTAAGCAACAGGATATAGTATATGTTTGAAAATATGAAAATACCACTGTTCTCCCACAGTGAATTAAACATTTATTTTCTCAGTATTGTCTATAACGTCTAGTGATATTATCGTGCTCAACCGATCCGCATTGAGGCCAACAGTCTGATAACGGGTTAAGATAAAAAGAACTAAAACGCCATCCATGACCACAACTGATACCACAGGCAGTATCATGAGCAAAACTCGTTGCCTTGGTCTTATTTTCCACTGTACTCTAGCCATCTAAAATAACCAATTATAAGCAATTAAAAGTAAAATTGGCACTTTACCAAGAAAAGTTTGATTCATTGTAAAGTCACTTATTTGCTAAGAATATGATTTGTAAGTTTCCTGTATCAAATAGCTCATTCTGTTTGCAAGTAACTGTGTACCTCCTGTATATACTCTTGGAGACAAATCTATAGTCATCAGATTTCCAAATCTTGTCAAATTATTGCCCCCCTCCTGCCATAATTCTTTACCCTAGAACTCCCCAGAGTTACAGTGAACATAATTCACTAGAGCAGAGAAAATGGCTTTGCTCCCATAGTCTGGGGCTTTGGCATATACTCAGAGAGGCCATGGCAGAAAAGAAATACCAACCAGTCAATTAAGTTTTTGTAGACTAAAAATGTTTCAGAGAAAAGAAGGAATTGTAGAAACAGCACATATATTGTTCAGGGCTGTGGATGTGACAGTAAACACAGTTTTCTGCGCTCAGTAAATGCTGGCTAGGTCTAGCCATCCCAGAGCACCCATGCCGTAGGTGAAAAATTGGTAAGACCCAACCCCAACACATGTGGAACTTGTTAGCAATAGAAATACCCAGTCCTGGTGAATTAAAATTCTAGATCTGTAGAATGCCCAATGGAATAAAACGTATGGGCACACTCATATTATCCTCTACCTAAAAAACCATTTCCATTAAGATCCTCCTTATTCAGGCTATTTACCTCCTCAAAAGTGTACCAATACTTACTGTGCTTTAAAAGGGAAAAATTTAAAAATCCATTGGGGTCAAGCCTGATGCTCGTCTGCCATAAGTCAGTGCTTCCCAGATCGGTATCAGAGGCCTGAGCTTGCCAAAGATGAAAAGCAAGACCTATCATAAGCCTTGTTAAAAGCCACTGATTCTAGAAAATTATTTTGCCACATGTCAAATATCCTTTGCAAAGTGGTGAGGCCGAGATGAATCTGGCAGAGTTCCGATGTCCTCCAATTGTCTCATGGAGACCAGCTGGAGTTTTGTATAGTGAGTTTTTCCTTCCAGGGTTTTTCCATCTATTCAGACCACAGGGACAAAAGCTGGTTGAAAATCCAGTTCATAGAAAAATAGAGGCATTAAAGTAACACAAAGATTACTAGTACGCTAGTTAAGAGATCTGAGTATTTCTCTCCATTGCCAGTAACTGTGAATATTTAGGTTAGTAAATCAATCTGAAATTTGGTTTCCTTGTCTATAAAATTAAAGGAGTAAATTATGCCTGTAAGACCTCTTTTAAAAATCTTTACGATGCTATTTCAATATATACAACTGTAGCTTTGATATTTCAATAGCTAGTTCTTAAACTGTATAGTCATTTTCTCCTGAAGCCCATCAGAGATTTTAAAAACTAGAGAGAAAATAATACATGCTTTTTTACCTCAGAACAGGAAAGGTTTGGGTATTCCTAAATCTAACCTTATGGAACCACAGAACTGTCTCTCAGCAGCCACTACCTACTTGGGCCATTGCCAGTGAGCACTTCTCTAGTTAACTTCCTGCTTCTGCACTCAGGCCAGAGAGAGCCGCCAGGACAGGGGCACTGTGTGCTGCCCGGGGCCTGCTCTGGGTCCTGAGCTCCAACAGCCGTGTGACCTTGGGCAGATTAGCAAGAATTTCAAATGTGAAAAGCCCCACATAGCATATATCTTGTGCCTAGCAAAGAGTAAACCCTCAGTAAATGGTAGCTATTTTTTTTTTATTACCACAATTGTATGATGATAGCATTCACATAATTCAGTGCATAATTCCACATAACTGAAAAAAGTCTGTGAAGGTACTGATAAAATCAGTGTTACTACAACCTGTGGTCCCAGCAAGCTGTCTCTGCTCTTTCTAGACTACTTACTGTTACTAATGCAATCTCGTTGACTTAAGGGCATGAATGCACATGCTGGCTCCCTATGTCTCTTTCCAGAGGTTCCACATGGCACAGCCTTGAGGATGTGACAATAAGGGAACAGGTAAAGAAACTGGTAACAGTTTGGAGGGGGACTGGGTGGCTTGGGTTCAGAGATGGGAGATTTACTTTTCAGTACATACCGTTTGTATCTTTAAAAGTTTGAACTGTATGTCTTACTTACATATATTCTTCAACAAGTTAATTTTTTAAAAAGGAAAAAGATACAATTTATATTTTAAAAAGCGTTGAGAGTTGGGGAGCTGAAAGGCTTCCCATCAGCAAGCTCTCTGTGGCTTTAGAGTGGCTCTGTGGCCTTGTGGGCTGTTTTAGCCTTTTGTTCTGCAACTGGAAGGCCACTGGTAGAAGCCGAGGGAGGGCAGGAGGGAGGAAGGGAAAATAATTTTGGTGCAAGATTATTCAGGTTTTGACTGGTTTCTGCACAAAGGACCCAAAGGAATTCCTATTGTAGATAAGGAGCAGGGTTTCACCTCTAAGTCTATTTCCAAATCTTGCCAATAAGTTAGTGCCCACGGAAGGTGAAGTCATGATTAAAGGAAAGAAGCACAGAAGTCAAAGTGTGTGTGTGTACGTATGTGTGGTACGTGTGTGTGCACACGCGTGTATGTAGTTCAATAACCTGTCCTGGCTCAACCTTTCTTTTTTTTTTTTTTAATTATTTTTAATAAAGAAAAAAAACTCCCCCAAACTGCTTCCTTTTGAAAATTAAGATTGACTTAGAAATAACAAGGAATGCATTTTATTCGAGGAAGTGCAGTCTAGTATACCAAAGCACAGGGTTAGATTTCTCCTTTTATTCATTATTTTCCACCCCTCGTGAAATTACATGTAAGTGCTGGGCATTGTGAAGAGAACTGCCCTGAAAAGAAACATCTTAAATCTCATGATAAATAAGCTACCATACAGCACACCATGGCAGAGGGGATCTGTAAGGAACAAACAATGTGTTCAAAATGCTTTGTGTTAACCATACATTAAAATTCTAAAATGTATAAATATAAAATGTATATATGAGAAAACAGATTTATATAGAAAAGAGCTTCATACATACTATAAAAATTAAAATATACCATGCTTGAGTAGCTCAGAATAGGTCTGTAGTATAGTATGACCTTAAACCAGATTAAGCATATTTAAGTTTCTGAAAAACATGCTCGGTGAGAAAACAGTATCAAAGTCATCATGTCATGGCTAGTCACCTGAGTCGGTGCCAACTCAACGGCAACTAACGACAGCCGTCAACTGGCTACAGCTCTGCTTGCCTCACACGGATCCAAAACACTTCCTTTTGGGCTGCAGACTGGGCAAAGTATGTTGGTTTAACAGGTCATCATTGTACTTTTAAAAGGTGTACTTTAGGCACATAGGAAACAACATGGACTGAACATAAGAAGAGTATGTGAAGAAAACTAAAAAGTGTGCTTGAGCAAAGAAAGAGGCATCAGCCTATAAAACAGTTGCTGGTCACCCAAAATATGCTGATGCTTAAATGTCATCAGTTACAGGCAAGCATCATGCTCAGATACACTTAAATACATCTTTATAATTTAGCATCATGAAGCACCTAGTTAAATATGACAAGGTAGTGTAATCCCATGATCTAGGATCAGTAATTTCTATATCCAACCATCCAGATCCTGAAACTTTTAGCATAAAAAAGACACAAATGCAGTGACAGCTCTGGGTTCTATGCAACACTGATGTAGAGGAAGTACAACGTTCATGTAAAACTTTCAACTTACTGTTTTCCTCTGTTCAGTAAGGGCTTGCAGGTCGTATCTGCTGAAAGACTGAATGGAGCACTATCAAATCATGCTATTTTGGTAGCAAAAGCTTAGGTTCCAGGGACAAATTAGATGAACAAAAATAAGTTTCTGTGCGTCTTTGGGAGCCTCAGAGTGGTGCAAACAGTTAATGTGCTCAGCTGCTAACGGAAAGGTTGGTGGTTAGAATCCACCCAGAGGTGCCTCAGAAGATAGGCCTGGCAATCTGATTTGAAAAATCAGCCACTGAAAACCCTATGTAGCAGAGTTTTACTCTGACACGCATCGGGTCACCATGAATCAGAATCGACTCAATGGCAACTGGTTACTCGTGCACTTTTGAAGGCTTGGCTCAACTCTTTCACAAACTGTTCCTAACTCCCTGGAGAGTCTACATGCTTGCTCTTCATCCTGATGGCAGACATTGCCAGTTGCCTACACAACATTCTTCCTTGCTAAAAGGACCCAATTTTATTCAACACTGAGCAGCCATGTGTTTCACAGAAGCTTAGAGCCCTGGGATTGAATCTTCATTAGTGACCCAAAGCTTTTAATTGCATTCTCCTTGCCAGTGATTGGTTAAGGAATAGGATAATGATGAAAATCTGGCTAGGGAGACATGAGAGAGAATCTACTGCTGACAGGCTTTTGTGCAAACTTTCCTTGCTCTTAAAACAGCACAAAAGAAAGTAGTGTTCCTTTTGCATCTCTGGTGCCTGGAACTGTGGCAGAAATATTAGGAGTAGGGGGAATCAACCTAAATGGAGAGCAGACTGGATAGGAAGAATCCGATCATGGTGACATTGTTAAGTCACTAAATTAAACAACCCTGGGACTTCCCACCTCTGGACTTGTTTTGTAAGATGTCCTTATCATTTAATGCATTGGGGGCAGAGAGATTTCTGTTACTTGTGGCCCCAAGTAATCTGATGAAATCCCCTTACGCTGAAATAATATAACCTGTTTTATATAGTATACACGCAATTTAAAAACTAAACCAACTCTTATGTGAGTACAAACTTTTCCTCCCCCACAAATTCATGCTTCTTTGGAGCATGTTCTATAATCTGTCTGGAATACCATCCTCCCCAGCACAATCAATCACTTCAAGGCCCAAGTCAAAGTCCACCTCCTACAAGAACAGTTTCTTATATTAATCCCTGCCTACATCCTTTTCTAGCACTAGCATATAGTATTTACTGCCTCCAATTTTTCCATCTTGTTCTGCCGATTTTTGTATCTCTCTGTCAGTGACTACTGCTGTGAGCACACAGTAGGCACTTAATTTACAGTGACTGAATGAACAAGTGAATGAATGTGTGCAAAGTGCTGTTTTCCTTCATCAGAAACTTGGGCTTTTCCTTTCCTCTTGTTCGCCCCTGTCTTCTTTCCTCATCTTATTCTCTGTAGATGAAAAGACAAAAAGATAAAAGAAATTCAGAGCTCAGACTCTGAATAAGTATTTCTAAAGAAGGCAAAAGTGGAATGCCCTACCTTCCGAGCGTAATAGATCAGTGAAAGAACTATAACAATACGGGGAGCAGTAGTTGGATGCAATACAAATGGCTCCTGTCTTTATACCTCCTTATAACATGTTAAGAAGCCCTGGTGGTGCAGTGGTTAAGCGCTCAGCTGCTAAACAAAAGGTTGGGGGTTTGAACCTACCAGCGGCTTTGCAGAAGAAAGATGTGGCAGTCTGCTTCCGTGAAGCTTACAGCCTTGGAAACCCTATAGGACAGTACTACTCCAACCTACAGGGTCACATTTGAATTGGCATTGACTCAACGGCAATGGGTTATAAGACGTTAACTAGTTCCACTCTTGAGATTGGTAGGGTAGGCGGACATCCTTAACAAATCGCTATCTATGGTAGAAAATATAGCAGAGTCTAGCACACAGTAGGCATTCAATAAAGGTTTCATGAGTGAGTAAGGAATAGCATAGCATTATATGGTCAGGGCTTTGGGCTTACACCTTGAAGTTATTATGATCAAAATAGGATGCAACGTGGATACCAGGAGTAATGCCTCTGTCTGGTGTAATGAACTTCTCTGAATGTACTGACACAGGAACATTCAGTCTAATATGGACTTCAAGCTGTTTGGAAATGAAAAGTGAAATCTTGGGTGGTTGTTGTTTTTACTTTAAAACTCCTATGGTTGGTAGCTAAATCTCAAAACAGAGGACCATCAGCAGGACACCTCCAGACCATCTGTAGAAAGACCTCATCCTTAACACACAGCTGCGTCTCTCCTAATCACAGTTCTCTTCCACGTGACAAGCTCTTGACACAGTGGCAGCAGAAACAGCATTGGGCAAGATTGTGACCCAGTATGGGAATTGGCTCTTACCCCCAAAGGTATGTAAATACAATTCTAATAAGCTTTGGACTCATTCCAGATATTAAAAAGTTAAAGTTTCATTAGGGAATATCAAACCAACACTAAGAACTTCTGCAAGACCTTTTATATTACACAATAGAGTAAAAACTGAGTAAATGTTCAGATATTTAAATGAGCACCAAACACTACAAAGTGCAACCAACATGGTTCTATTAAAAATTCTCTTCAACTATGGCATTCGAGGACAGCAATACAATATTTTCTTTACAAAGCGACCAATATAAAAATCTGCAAATGCCATAAATTTGTTTACAGGATATTATTCTTATATAGGTATGTCATTGGATATACTTTCTTTTCTTTCCTGAGGGTTTTTTTTTTTTTTTTTTTTTTTTGTGGTTTACTTTTATTGTACTGCTGGATGCATTATCTTTGATTATCCTTCCCTAAAATGATTTTTAAAGACCTGCAAAAAGTTTTATTGCATAGGACACTATTCATGACACAGAGATTGGGAACTGCAAATATGTGGCATTGGAACAAGTCTTACAAATAGTGCATTTTAAGAATTTGTTACATACTTTTTTTTTTTTTTTTTACAGTTTGTCTCTTTTAAAAAAATTGAAGTTACAGCTAAGAGTGAACTAAGTACAGTGAAGCATTTTAGGAATGTTAGAGATTAGAGAACAAGATGAATGATACAAAGGAAAAAAGCCATAATTCTTGTCGGCTATATATTGTATTGCCTTCAAAAGCAACTGTACATTTGTAATCAGTTCATAGTTAAATATTTCTACTAATCTGTTTTGGGAGAGCAAATGTCTTTCAAGGTTTCAAGTTCCTCTATAAGCTTCTTGTTCTGAACTTCCAGCACTGCAACGCGACTCTCCAGACATTTTACATATTCTTTCTTTCGACGTCGACATTCTTTCGCAGCTTCCCTGAAAAAAGCAGAAGCAAAAGGGCAAACAAAATATTTTGTGCTGCTATTGACAAACAGATTGAAGTAAGCTCAGTAAATGTGATCATGGTTACATTCCAAATCTTGGAACAACGTTCCCAATTCAATTTCAAACGCTAAGCTAAACAGGATTCTTAAGGGTAATAAGTGTCCCTTCCACAGTCCACATAGCAATTAGTAGAATTACTGCATCTCCTGCCTTGATTAGAGTTCACAGTAAACAAGGTCCAAGCCAAAGGCAGTTACTCTGCTTTATGGCAATAAAGATCTTTGAGGGCCTTGAGTTCCTCAATGAGAGTCTTGTTTTGGTTTTCAAGCACAGCCACACGATTTTCAAGACATTTGACATATTCTTTCTTCTTCCTGCGACACTCCCGGGCAGCTTCCCTGGAACCAACACAAGGCAAATGACTACAGGAACAACCACCCAGCACAATCCAGAGTGGTTCAATGAACTTCTGCCCCCCAAACTCAACAGCCAATCAATCGTACGTGAGGTTTGTACAAAACCACTCAACAAATGTAACCAAGCACATGCCTTTTTGTAAGACAACAGGAACAACTTGAGAGCACAATCAGTTTGCCCTGCATTCATCTCAAATGGCATTTTCTTAGGGCACATGTTCCATGATAACAATGGCCAGATCAATGAATTGTTTTCAGTAATCCAAAACAGGACCACTTCCCCAAATGGAATGTCTACAAAAACATTTACAGATCCTTTCAATTTTCTTTGTCTATCAAAAGCCTCATATTCCATTGCAATGAGTTCAACTTTATTTGATGAAAAAATGATTAGAAGACTTAATCCTCAGAAAGCTTAAATGTCAATATTGGAGATTTTTGTTCTTCAGATTTAAATCTCAGTAAAACCAATAAGATTCACCATGACTACAAGAAACAGTTTACTAGCTAGAAAATACAACATGTATAAAGATAACGAGCAACAAAGAAATGCAACTTTTCATAGGCCAAAATGAAATGGACACTGGTTCTGAACTGAAGAAGAAAAAGAAGGCAGGCACGCACGCAATACAACACAGCAATTCAGACAATTTAAACCCAGGACTGTGAGAACACCATGATTAAAATAATGAAAAGGAAGTTATTGACTAACTCAAAAGTGTACTTCAAGACTGTTCTCTAATCACACGCATTCAATAACCAACACATTAAATTTTAAAGCACTGTAAGCATGCCCAAAATAAAGAACAGACCAGCAGCCAAAGCAACAAACACAAATAAATGGATAAGATGAGTTAGTAATTTTCATGTATAACCCCACCAAAACAACAATGAAGATAGCCAACATTTTCTCTTGCTCCTTTTTTTGAGGGAGAGGAGGGTGGTGACTACTTCATTTAACTCTTCTATTAAAATAAACCTCCTGATGACAACTTTACTTTGGGATATTCAATTGCTCTGGGAGTGCATTGGTACCCGTCACTAACTAAATCCATCAAAAAAGCCCACACTGAAACAGATGTTATAATTCAAATATACTTTAACAAAAATAGTACTGAGTGTCTACAGTAACCAGTTGCTATAATGCCAATTAGCGCTGCTGTACTCCTGAACCGAATGTGACGCATACAACAGATTTGGCCAATTCTTTTATTTTTAGGATAATTGACTCCCGTTAACAACTGGATATCCATGTTTTCTCTATGAGAAGCAACAGTCAGCAGAAAAGAGACCTTGAAATCCCAATGAACTGCAGGAAAGATTAACCCCTGCAGTTCCTAGCCAAGAACAATAAATTTACCCTGTGAACTCACAAAGTTTTCAAACTTTTCAACTGGCTAATAAAAAAATGTAAAAGTGAATAATTGAATCTAATAAAAATAATGATTAATCTACGTGATGCACAGGGAAAAGTTAAGGATAAATCCAAGCACATTTATGCTTTGCCAGTTTGGGAAGATAATAAATTTTCTTCTACAAAGGAAACAACATTCATTTATGAATATCAAAGTTTTCATGATTAATCATCATAATAAATTCTAGATATAGAAGGAAGATAGGCATTTTACAAAACAGGTTACCGTTAAATGAAGTTTTAAATACCTAATAATGGTGTTGTGAGATGTTTAATTTTTAAAATTTTATTTACTCAGATGTTTCTCGTAAATATCCATAATTCTTATTTTACACATTTGTGTGTGTACATGCGTGTTACTAGGGTCAAAATGTTGTAGGCACAAAGATTTAAATGATCATACCACTAGGTGGTACATTCCTAAATACTGCTCAGCTATGGAAAACACCTGTTTCTTCTATTAATAGTTAGCTCAATTTTCGGGCCTAGGGTTTGCCTGGATATATTCTCAGCATGGAGACAAAGTATGTGGCAAGGAGGAAAAGTTGAGAAGGCTGTAAAGAAATAAAAACTGCCACTGGATTGGTGAGAATATAATTAAATATCGATTGTAAATGCCAGCCAACGAATAAAAAGAGTGTTTAAGAGGCTTTTTGCATTAATAAGAAAAACCTAGACACTTGTCACGAAGTTAAATCTGAAGTTTACGTGGAGGCCTGTTTGGGGGTGACCTTAGTGTTAGCGTAGTGGTCAGGTTCTGAATAAAGACTGCTTGATTGTGTACCTAGCTCTGTCTGGTTTGGGCTGTGTGATCTTAACCAACTGATTCCTTAAACTTTCTGAACCTCAGTTTCTTACCTGTAAAGTGAGGCTAATAACAGGATCTATTCTCACAAGGGTTAAAGGAACAGTAGAAATAAAGCACTAAAAACTTACATATGCTAATTGCTCAACAGATATTCGGCAACCTAATAGCCATTTACAATCTACTTTTCGTTTGCCTTGTTCTGAAATCGATATTGGAAAGGTAAAATAAACCTCAGAATCCCAAGGGACTAGAGACCTAGTTCTAGCCAAATGAAATGTAGGTGAAAGGTGCAGAATGGATCCTCTAGGAATGGTTTTCAGAAGGGCCAGACTCAGCCAGTGGCAACTTTTAGCTCTAGTCTTTCACCCTCTTCCTGTCTGATGGAATGTCTGGAGATGTGGCAGCCATGTTGTGATCACAGGAATGAATGGCACATGCTGAAGATGACAGAGCAGAAAGGAGGAGCCTGGATCCTTGATGACACTATAGGCTTTGTTCTGGCTGCACCTACTGCTGGACCTGCTATGACCAAAAAACCACCTACACGTGTAAGCCTGCACCTTCCAGGTTTTTGGTTATTTGTAGCTCAAAAAAAATTGCTATTCATAAAGTTATTAGTAGTTAATTATTTTTTAAAAACCCACAATTTTATCATTTTTTTTTCTGAAGAAGGCCTCATATATATGTGTAGGTAGTTGTGTGGGAAGTTTATAGGAGCTCATTGCCTAATATTTTATCTACAGTTATGTGCCACATAACGTCCGTTCAGGCAACGTCCGACCGCATATACGTCCATGGTCCCATAAGGTTATAATAGAGTTTAGAAATCCTGATCGGAGAACAGGATGTATCTTGGAGAACAGGACCAAACACAACACAAAAGGAAACTTTTCTGGTCCCTTTGGAAAGCCAGAGTGTTTGGTTGTGCATGACCTGTGTTGACCACTCCTGGGCCCTGTGGTCTCCACACCCTGATGTTTCATGGGCCCCACCCTCCAGGCCACTCTGGGCAGTGGGACAGCAGCCTGCAGGGCCTGATCTGACACAGTGCTTGCACAATGTCCAAGTCACATAACGTCCTGTTTCACAGAACGTATCATGGACGTTAAGTGACGCATGACTATATTCCATTCTGGTAGTTCTACTGACAAAATTTTGAAATCTAAAAATAAAAGTAGAGAATAATACCAAAAGGGAAATAAGAAAGCTGATTCCAAGTTCTTCCTTCTTATTTTCTTTGGGAAAATAAGACATCAATCAACAATTTTACAGTTTGCATTACTGTCGTACTTTATATTTCTAAACTGGAATTCACAATGTACATTCTATGACCAGAAAGGCAATCATATTCATAGCTGCTGAAATCTCTGAAAGTAAAATTTTAAAGTATCCATATTCCCCCATTCAAACTTTGGTATCAATATTTGTATAAAACAACTAGGACATTGTGTGAGCCCCACCTATTCAGCCCTTCAGGACTTCTGAGCACAATACTAACGATGAAAAGTATGACTCTAGCACAACTCAGTGAACCCAGAAACACTGCTGATAAAGATGTGTATATCTTAATGATCCTATTTCTGGTCATTTGTTGAGTTCTCCAGTGTACAAAACTCCATCAAGTGATTTGTGATATCTGGATAAGCTTGGGTACTATAGTCAACTTAAAAATTCCTGTAATGTATCAAATTGTGACATTTAAAAATCTATTAGTAAACAGAAACCTTGGTGACGTAGTGGTTGAGAGTTCAGCTGCTAACCTAAAGGTTGGCAGTTCGAATACATCAGGTGCTCCCTGGAAACCCTATGGGGCAGTTCTACTCTGTCCTACAGGGTTGCTGTGAGTCAGAATCGACTCAACGGCAACGGGTTTTCTCTTTTTTTTAAGTAAACTGAATATAGCTACTTCTCGTTCACATTCAGTTACAAAGGACCGTGATGAAATCAGCACTCATTTCTGAAATTTAGGGGCTCAGAGGCCACAATTTCTAGATTAACTAGGTTGCTAACACCTAGCAAATTAACTGCTACCACCACCACCTAGCAAATTAACTGCTACCAGGTGGTCCTGATCACAGAAAGCACACAATCCCATCTTAAATTTTTGATTTTCTTGCAATTAAATTATTCAACATTTTGAAATAAGGTGGTAAGACTGCTGATAAAACTTAGACCAATTCTGTTCTTTTTGAAAATAAGATTAATTTGCTCTATTCTCTATAATAACAACTAAACCAAGAAATAATATGCAAGTTAAATTAAAAACAGAATTTTCAAATATAGCATACTGCTGTTTAAAAAAATAAAATTACATAGATATGGAACAAGAAAGAACGAGAGAAAACAGACTGGAAATACATACACTATAGTTATTAGCAGTTATCTCTAGGTGGGGGGCTATGAATAATTTTAATTCTTTTTTTGTATTTGCATTTTTACTAAAAATTATCAGAACAAATACCATTTTAGTATAATAGAGAAAAAACAAAGTTGCAAAACAGATAAAAGAAAACTATATGTAAAAACTTAGACAGGCTTGACTCACACTTCAAGATATTTTGCTCATAAAGAAGCTAGAAAATTATACTTACCATCTATATCACAAAATAAATACCTGTCTTAGGCTGGGTTCTCTAGAGAAGCAAAATCAGTAAACTGTATAAATATATATACAGAGATTATATCAAGGAAACAGCTCACGCGATTGTAGAGACTAGAACGTCCCAAGTCCGTGGATCAGGGTAGAGGCCTCTCCCACGTCACACAGCTGCAGAAGCTGGCAAGCCCAAGATTGGAAGGTCAGAGAGCAGGGCTCCCACTCACAGGCTGTGCAGATCGACGAATCCCAGGTTCGGCAGATAAGCTGACAGCTCAAGTCCCAAGACCGGGAGATGAGACAACAGGAAGCAGCCGCAGGATCCAGAGACAGCAAAAAGCCAGAACGTCTGCTTATATACAGATGTGGGCCACACCCCCAAGGAGACTCCCTTTCATCTGACTGGCTACTCACAGTATATTCAATCATGGGAGTGATTACATTAAAACACGGAGAATCATGGCCCAGCCAAGTTGACACACAATCTTAATCATCACAGTCCACCCCTTGTCAACTTGGCACATGTACACATCTCCTTAAACCATACATAATCTCTGAATAAAGACAATGAGAAAGTCATACTTGCGCCTAACATGATACAACTAACATACAATCGAAAACGCACTAGCCCCATTTACAGCTTATATTTTATAAGTGAAGGAAACAAAAATATTTGATGCACACTTACAAAGTACAAATACTCGTAATAATTACAGTCCCCGTTTCTGCAACTGGTCACATGGCCATAACTGTTATTTAGAACTACCTTCTTCCACCACCCATTCTGTATTTCCTTTGCCCTCTGCAAGCACCTCGGCTGGTTGTGGTTCTTTGCCTGGTGGGGTGACCCAAACCTTCATTCCTGAAGGGTCTGTGTCATTAGCAGTCATGTCAGAATTAGGTAGCTGTAGTTTTCCACTGACTTTAATCACAGGGCATGGTAGTACTAAGAGATGCCCCAAGGAATCTCCAGCATTCCAGACATACTCTTCTTTACCTCCATTATGTAATATCAATTTGATTTCCTCTTGGTAATCAGGATCAATCACACCAGTCAGTATGGTAACTCCCTTCTTTGCCTGTTGAGCCAGAGGCATAAGGAGCCCAAAGTGGCCAGGTGGTATTCTTAACTTCCAGTTCAATGGAATCAGTGATGTGTCTCCAGGTGGGAGCATTCCTCTCTTTGGAACTAAGACCTCTAGGCCTGAAGAGCATAAGGTCGAGGGGACAGGAAGCAAAAATCTTGCAAGTGGGTCACTAGGGGTAATAGTGAGTGATGCCACTCCCATTTCTACCCCTTGCTTCCTGGACCCGTGAATCCTGGCTATGGGAGAAACAGCACCATATATTGGACGCTGGTTTAAAGCATATACAGCCTCCTGGAGAACATTGCCCCAACCCTGCAAGGTACTGCCACCTAGCTGGTGCCGTAATTGTGTCTTTAGAAGGCCATTTCATCGTTCTATCAAGCTAGCTGCTTCAGGATGATGGGGAGCATGGTAAGACCAGTGAACTCCATGAGCATGGGCCCACTGCCGCACTTCATTTGCTGTGAAGTGAGTCCCTTGATATAAGGCAATGCTGTGTGGGATACCATGAAGGTGGATAAGGCATTCTGTAAGCCCATGGATGGTAGTTTTGGCAGAAGCATTGTGTGCAGGGAAGGCAAATCCATACCCAGAGTAAGTGTCTATTCCAGTAAGGACAAAATGCTGCCCTTTCCATGATGGAAGTGGTCCAGTGTAATCAACTTGCCAACAGGTTGCTGGCTGATCACCTCGAGGGATGGTGCCATATTGGGGACTCAGTGTTGGTCTCTGCTGCTGGCAGATTAGGCACTCAGCAGAGGCTGTGGCCATGTCAGCCTTGGTGAGTTGAAGTCCATGCTGTTGGGCCCATGCATAACCTCCATCCCTGCCACCACGGCCACTTTGTTCATGAGCCCATTGAGCAATGGCAGGAGTAGTTGGGTAAAGAGGATGAGTGGTTTCCACAGAATGCGTCATCCTATCCACTTGATTGTTAAAATCATCCTCTGCTGAGGTCACCCTTTGGTAAGCATTCACATGAGACACAAATATCTTCACTTCTTTGGCCCATTTGGAGAGGTCTATCCACATACCTCTTCCCCATAAATCCTTGTCTCCAATTTCCCAATCATGTTCCTTCCAAGTCCCTGATCATCCAGCCAAGCATTGGCCACAGCCCATGAATCAGTATATAATCGCACATCTGGCCATTTCTCCTTCCAAGCAAAGTGAACAACCAGGTGCACTGCTCGAAGTTCTGCCCATTGAGAGGATTTCCCTTCACCACTGTCCTTCAGGGAGGTCCCAGAAAGGGGCTGTAGTGCTGCTGCAGTCCACTTT